AGCGCTCTTCCTTCGGGGGTCAGTGCTGGGTGGCTGTCGGCACACCAGCAGCAAACTTGCCAAAACCAACACCGTCCGGGTTTGCGCCAGGGCGGGTGACGCTGTCGGCAGCAGGAAGATAGGCTTTGCAGCAGAGTGTGCGCCCTCACCGCCGCTGCCCATGGCTCGGGATGGGGGAAGCGCCAGAGCCTCACGGCAGGCTGGGGGCTAGCGGGCTGCTGAGGTTCAGCGTTAGAGCACACGGGAGTAACGGCAACCATAAAAGAAAAGCGCGGCCAACTCCTCAGTCTGCCGGCCGGCCCCCGCGCGCTGCCACGCAGAGCTTCGAAGTTTGACCGTCCGCTCAGGCGCGAGCTCCCGGGCTGGCAAGACAAGCAGCGCTCCATGGGGACTGCAGCAGCAGCTGCCCGGGGTGTGGAGGGTTTGCTGTCAGAAGGGAGGGCACCCCAAAGCGCAAGTTATGTTCTGCCTCCCTCACCAACTCACGGCCGTCTGCGCCCACTCACACAGATACTGCAGAGACACTTCGTCCTTACCAAAGATGCAACCCAGAGAAGCACTGCCATGCAAAATCGATCCCCAAAATCAATGAAATATGTGTATGTTTGAAGAGGTGAGATGTTTTTATGATCTCACTGGCTCAGATCAGCTGTGCAGTAGCATTTTATAACTAGGTGCATATACAGCATGCTAATAAAAGAGCGGTTTATGTGAATGTTATGGTAATATTGGTGACCTAAGTGGTGAGAATATGAATTTTTGATTATGTCATAACTAGGGGGGAAATTTCTGTTCTTAAATTTCTGTTATTAAAAAAAACATAGTCTCAATCGAGTGTATTTATGTTGGACCAGAGATTTTTTGTGCTAATAGAACTGAACAAACTGGAGTTTGATTTTTGGATTGTTTTGATGTGACTCTGTACTGCAGTTCTGTGGGTGATTTGCCACCTCGAGAAAATGCAACTATCTTCTCACAGACTGAATTCACCAGATTTCTCTTTTTTTTTTTTTTTTGTCCTTCCACAGATCCTTAGAATTTGCACAAGATACACACCAGAACAAGACACCATGACCTTTTCAGATGGCCTTACCCTAAACCGAACTCAGATGCACAACGCCGGCTTTGGCCCACTGACTGATCTCGTGTTCACGTTTGCCAACCAGCTCCTGCCTTTAGAAATGGATGATACAGAAACAGGTCTCCTTAGTGCCATCTGCTTAATCTGTGGAGGTACCGTACAGCATGAACTCGGACGCGACTGAAAAGGACAGACATGATAAGATCTTCATTTATGTTTTACTTGTTTTGCTTTCCTGTAATATGTAATATTATTATATACGTTATATAAACCACTTAGCACTAAAGGCCTGTTTTCTACTGGTGATGATTATTGGTTTTATTATTGATACATTTTAAAATGAATTGAATCATTCTGTCAAGCAACCGATCCTATTATTAGCCTGATAAAGGAGTACAGGATATATCCTGCTGCATTTTTTTATAAGCAGTATATGGGTACCTGTATGAATGACCTTTGTTAGAGCAAGATGCCCATTATGCAACTTTTACTCATGAATATAGTTGTATGCATATGCATATAGTTAACGTTCACACAGAAGTCACTGGTGATAACTTTCTTTAGAAAAAAACAGATTATACTTTGAAATGAGCATAGTGGCACCGATGACATGATTTGGAGGGGGCTGATTACAACTTGAAAGGGACATGGTCAGGTAAAATCATGGTTTTAAAATACAAAAAGTGAAGTCTCAGATAATTTCCAAAATCCTCTGTAAATTTCTGTTACTTTAATCACCTAGTCTCTCTCCTCCTTTGCAAAATCTGGACTAGCAATAGAAACACACCTTGTTTAGCTGGGCCATTTTGTTGAAATACAAACTGGGTGGTACTAGAGGATATTTAAAAAACAAGAGTCAGCCTTCGTTGACAGTGGCCCTTTAGTACAAAATCATTCTGATTTTAGTGTCTCTAACCATAACCCATCAAAAGCATTGATGAGTTCTGAGATGTCATTAATAATGTGACTGGTGCATCCTGGTTTCTGGGTGGCGATTGCTGTCACTCAAGCTAGCACTGCCATCTGCTGATACCTGCTGGTAACTCACTTTAATTTAGGATTGATACAAAAAAATTAGCTGTAATCTCTTTGTGTACCTAGGCAGTGTATCAATGACACATACAAAATTAATTCTGAAATACTTGTTTGCAGCAAGGTGTTTTCCCCTTGGAGAGGGAGGTACAAGAGCAAACTGGTAATTCTGGGTCACTCAAATGACAAACCTTTCCAGTCACCAAGGAAAAATTAATCTAAGTTTCATAAAGCCATGGTTTGTCCTCTTTGCACAGAATATTTGCTAGAGTGGGTCATAAGTGGAGGGAAAAAAAAGATTAAATTCATGGAGTTCTAATCAAGAACATGGAGGAGCTTCTGCGATTTGGAGTTTGTAAAAAAAAAAAAAAAATTAAAATCATGCAGGTCATATGGTACTTTTCTACAGATCGCCAGGACCTTGAAGAACCAATGAAAGTGGATAAGCTTCAGGAACCGTTGCTTGAAGCACTGAAAATTTATATCCGAAAGAGACGACCCAACAAGCCTCATATGTTCCCAAAGATCTTAATGAAAATCACAGATCTTCGTAGCATCAGTGCAAAAGGTACAGTGTCTCCCCGTAATTCAGCAATCGTGTCAGTGTTATGTTTCAGAGGAAGCTGGCTTAGAGACCTGGGTCATTTTTTAATATATCTAGGAAAGATCTTTGTGACCTTTCTCTTCCCTTCTTCTTTATGCAGCTCCTATGTTTAAATTGGTTCTGCTTTAAGCGTACATGGTGCTACATTCTTCATGCAGCTTACAGTGAAAATGCCGCCTTAGGTGTAAGCGGGTTAGCAGATCATTAGCATGAACTCTTCGTTAGTCATTTTAAGATAAAACCCTGAATTAAGCCTTTGTTAGCGTTTACAGGGGAGTGCAGGTCAACATATGCTTTTCAAAAAACAGTCTGTTTACAGACAGCAGGAAACATTGTGCATCCTAAATTTCCCCAAACTGTGGTCTGACGTACTGAAGATTTCAAACTTAACTGATCTAGGATTTTGGAGATTGAGCACCTCTAATACAAACTAACCATGCTTTTACCCATGAATCAATTTTGTTCTAATGTTTTGTGTAGTCTTGTATGTGACCGATTGATCGTGTGAAATAAATACACACAGCCATCACCGAAGTTCTCTAAAGCACAGGTATAGTGGAATGCTTTCATTTCATCAGAGAGGTTCCCCGCTTAGCGCTTTGTCCCATGAGCCTGTCCCTATGTAGCGACAGATTGGATTTATGCTTTTGAAAAAATTACTAATTTCATTTGATGTGGTTTTTGAGAAGACTTCAGGGAAAAAAATTAGCAGTTAAATTGCTGAAATACATTTATTTTACATTGAAACCTGAACTGTCACACTTTAAACAATATATCTCTAAGTTAAAAAATTACGCTATAGCTATGTTTATAAAAAGTAGTGGGGAATTTAATTGGATTGATTAGTACCGAAAGAATAACTTAGAAGGGAAACACCAGAGCTGGACCAAAAGTACCCTAAAAAGGAACCGCTTAACCAGGTTAGCTAAAGCTTGCAGTTTACCCTCGAGTAAAGCAAGCTCCATCCAACTGAGTCTACAAAATAAACTTACAGCAGTACTATAAAAATATTCAGGGGAGCCTTTTCGTTCTATTGTTCTTGCTTGTGGGAAGTCTAGTTCCACTTCCCTGCTGCTTTGCCTGAGCCCTCCAGCTCCTCAAGAACACGGCTCTGTCTCTTGATGTTCAGTGCACGAGAAAGGATTATTCTTTCCATTCTGACATAAGTGTTTAACTTTAATTATATCATTAATGTTTTTTAGTAGAACTAAATCATACCAAAGGACTGGTGATGTCCTGCAGGGGGTGGGCGTGTCTTGAGTTTCATGTGAAAAGATGTACATTAGAAGATAATGACTTCTGATGGTACGCAATCCCTGAAAGCAATTACCAACATAAGCATGAACTGAAAAGACTGAGAATGTCTCCTTGCACTAGAGTTCCTTATACAACTACATTCTTCTGTGGCGTTAGACGTATTGCAACAGAAGAATTAAGCGTTTGTAGGACTGAAGCAAGAGACTGTCTTCAGAGTTCTTTTATCCCAGTATTAAATTGGAAGTTTGCAAGACCTTGGAAAATGACTGTGGTTCTACACTGGAATAACCACACCAACACTTGGTACCGCAACTGACATACTCCGTAACAGCAGAAAGCAGACACTTAATGTGGCCAAATTCAGTTTATCAGTGCTGCTCTGGCTACAGATGGTTTTCAGAGAAACTCTCAGCACAATTCTGCATTAACTTCTTTCCAGTTACAGTGCTTGCCCCTTTGTTCCTAACAGTTGTTTAAGAGACTTACTAATGAGTGTTCACTTGCAAAGTTGGTCATGGCCTTTGTAGATGATTTTTGAAGCTCTTCAGTTAAGGCACAAACATCAGCGCTCCCTTCCACTCTGGGGTTACCACTGTGAGCGACAGCGTGCTCTCTCTCCAGCACGGACAGTGCATCAGCACGGACAAGCAGAACATACCCAAAGGTTCTCTCCTCTGGAATGTTTCTTTAATAACCGGACTGTTTTCTCTTTAATTTTGTTGGCTCTTCTTGCCTTCCTTCACTTTTAAAAAGCACAGATTCCTATTCCATTAGACCCAGATTTTAAGATCATCAGGAATCTTGTGCAATGAGTTAGACCAGATACTTGAATGCTGAGGTTTATGGCTATAAATTGTTCGATGTTGTCCTGATAAGAAAAATCTTTTTCCCATCAGCAGCAAAATATGTAAAGCACATTCATGCCTCAGAGTGGAATAGAATCTTTACTGTATATCCTCCCTTTGAGGTGCAATTCCAAAATACTTCTGTCTCTCTATGGTCCTCGTCACTCAGCAGCCAAATGTTTATTAACTTACTTTCAGTCCTTCAGCTGTGTCACTCACAGCAGTTGTACCCGTGTTACTGCTGACTGTTCAGGGCTTTCCGAACATAGCTCGCCTACCGCTGTCGGCAGCAGCACAGAGCCAGCACAGCAGCTGAACCCTCCTGCTTTCCAGATCAAGCCTTTCCCAGTAACAGCCTTTTTTTTCAGAGAGACATTTTGTCTGCCCAGCATTTAAGGATTCCTCTGTTTGTAGTAACTTACTAAGGCCTAAGCAGTTCCCTCAGCATTAACTGCCCCGTGTCAGACAGGGTCTTGGCCATTTTTTTAATGCAGGCTTCAGCTTGTGCTGTAACCCCGCACACTAACCAAGCACGGTGCTTCCTGGGAGCACGGAGCTCATGTCGTGAACTGTGAGGTGTCTGCCTCTTTATACAGCCTTCCCTGTATGCCTGTCATCTTTGAGAAGCCTTAAGATATCGTAGGAGTATCAGGCACTATTGTGTGGCTTTGTGGTTTGAGTTCCCCCCTGCTCCTCAAACTAGTATTAGTTGTTGGCTCCCAGTCTGAGTAGTCAGGATTTACGTAGCAATTTTGTTTAATCTTACACACAGGAGCCTGCAAAGCCACCTCTCTCTAAAAATGCCCGTCGTTACACTGGATAAGGCCAAACACTGAACAGTTAGCTTTTGTTAAGGTTTTGTTAATGTAAACTGTGTTAGTGTTCCTGTGTGCTTTTGTGGTTAATTAGTACAAGGGAAGATGCCTGAAAACTACAGAAGACAGCTTCACAAAAAAAGTATCTTTTGGCCTGAACTTGTTCTTTTACAAAGCAATTGTTTGTTAAATTCTGGTGTCACAGTTTTCTGTATGGGAAAGAAATGTTCTGACTTACGTCACTACAGTTCTCTTACGGGATTCGCCTCACCTATGTAACACAAATCAGCCAGAATTTTTGTCATTCTGTAGTCTTTGCAGATCCCGTACAGATTAAAACCTGTAAAGTATATTCCAATTTATAGAGGCATCTATGTGACCACAGTTTAATTTAATTTTTCAGTATAATTTAATGCATTTTGGTTCCTTCTATGAAAAGAAGCAGTTAATCCAATTTACCTGTATTGTATTATCAGATGCTATGTCATAATTTTAAACTAATTTGTTAAGGAGTACTCATCTAACTCCTTTTTCTTGTAATGAAGGAAGTACTTCACTTACATGGCTTTATATGCAAGAAGTGTAGAAGACGACATCAAATCCATTAAAGTAACATACTCTGAAATTACTACTGATGATGCGAACAAAAAGGAAATTGTACAAATCCTACTAATGGAAAGGGCTTTTTGTTTCCTTTTTAAAGGTGCAGAACGTGTCATTACATTGAAAATGGAAATTCCTGGATCCATGCCCCCTCTTATTCAGGAAATGTTGGAGAACTCTGAAGGACATGAACCACTGACACCAACCTCAAATGGAAATACTGCAGAACACAGTCCTAGTATCTCACCGAGCTCAGTGGATAACGGCAGTGTCAGTCAATCCCCTATGGTGCAATAAGACATTTTCCAGCTACTTCAGACATTCCTAATACCTTCTGTACAGGGATGAAAAGCAAGAAAAACATTTTTACTGCTGCTTAGTTTCTGGACTTAATATATATCTATATATGTGTATATATATAGATAAAAACTCAACAAGGACCAAGAAATTTTCATATGTATCGATATATACTCCTTGCTGTTTAAACTCTTAAAACTAGAAAATGCAAACTTTTGAAACTCTAAATCAGCCATTTCATGCAAAAAAAATAGTTAAGCTTCTGTTTTCTCCTCTGAACGTTCAAGACTGCATGGTGACAAGACAGATCTCAAACTTTAAAATTCTGGTTGCATTTCTGATGACTTTGTACATACAAATGTATGGCTGTACTTTCTATACTGGATGTTCGGTGCTTTCCTTTTGTCTCTTATACCTAAAACGATCAAAACACCAACCATATGACATGGACTACTGTACACATCCAGAAAAGGAAGTTCAAAGGACCATCTGATTTAGTTTAAGATGACAACTTGTCTCTGATGCCCTCAATTTGCATCTCCTTCCTTGTAAAAAGTATACAAAAATTCACTGCACTAGCAGAAAAGACATCAGTATCAGCATTAACTGCCAGATCAGTTATTCAAATGTCATTTGTCCACTGTTAATGTCACTTTAAAATTTAAAGAAGTGGTTTCTTACCTGGCTGGTGACCTAGCTACCCAATTAACTACTACATTTCTACAGTAATGATGATAGCCTCCAAGGCAGAAACACTTTTCAGTGTTACCATGTTTTTGTTTACTTGTTCACAAGCCATTAGGAAAACTTCATGGGATGAGAAGCAGCAGACTCATTACAGCTTTTGAATCGGCAAGTCTAGGCTATTTCCTTAAGAATCAACTGCCAGGAATTATCTGGGTTATGCAGCCTTCCAGGTGCTAGGGAAGTACAGCTAGGACTTCCAGAAACACGAGGAGAGAATCTGCCTTCTTGGCCTTGTTAAATCACCATGAAGCAGAGTGAAAACTGTGGTAGAATGGTTAACAGATTTAAAGTGTCAGTTTCTTAGGTTTCATTTAAAGCACTAGTGGATTTTTTTTTTTTATATATTCTAGCAAGTCTGTGATGTACTTTCACTGGCTCTGTTTGTACATTGAGATTGTTTAACAATGCTTTCTATGTTCATATACTGTTTACCTTTTTCCATGGAGTCTCCTGGCAAAGAATAAAATATATTTATTTTAAAAAAAAAAACTCCTGTGTAGAAGCAGTCCCTCTAGTCCAAATTTTACACACACGCAGTAGTTTTCCATTTTTTAATGTTTAAACTTCATTTCAAAAAGCAGGTTTGCTGTTTGCAACCATGACAATTAAAATGTGCTTTAGCACAGCTGTCTAGAACATCTCTACAAGCCAGTCAGACAAATACATGACACTTCAATGAGTAAAAAAGAGCATAAAACTGTAGGTGTAAGAACAAAATGTTAAAATGCCTACACACAATAATAAAAACCATCAATTACATTATCACATAAAATAAGTCAAATGTACAAAAGTTTGCGACAGAAGGGACAAAAGGACAACACAAGATAGATGTTGGAAAACATTTGTGTGCTCTTTGGGCACTTAATTAAACATATCAAAATCATCATCTTCATCAGACTCTGCAAAATACTTAACTTCTTTTCTAGCCCGGCCTGTCCGTGGCTTTGGGGCAGTTTCAGAGGCAAAGCCTGACTGAAAGATTTCCACATCAGAATCCTGGTCAAAAGCAGCCTTCTTGGATTTCTTTAGAAAAGAAAAGACAAATCAATTGTCATGCTGTGTATGTTTTCCCTTTTTAATATTCAGAATCAAAGGAAACCTTCTCTAACATCTGATTTCTCAACACACCTAGACCCCCATTATCACATTGGCAACCTTTAATAAGAACATGTCCCTTTTATGTAAAGTAATCCACTGGGTTCTTTTTACAAGGAGAAAAGAGCATAGATGGAACTGACCTTGCTTGGTGTCGATTTAGGCATTTTCTTCCCAGGGTTGTATTCACCTTCATTTTCTGAACTGGATGCTTTCCTTTTCTTTGCCCCTCTACCTTTTCCTAGGTGAGAGAATATGATTTAACCTTGTTTTCTTTTTCTTTTTTTAAAAATACAACTCCAAACTTCAGCAAGCTGAAGAAAAATCTGGTGAAATTACTTTAGTATCTCTACATGTTAAAGTTCAGATTTAGTTTACAACTCCAGCTTCTTCACAACAGCAGTAAAATAAAATACATTTTATTTTCTCAGTTTTCTCTTCCGAAGTTACCATTCACCCTAGCAATTCAAGCTATCTGTCGGTTCAAGACAGGGACAAATGTCATTAGATCAATGACTTCCAGACTTCTGAAGTACTACAAGTCCTCGGTCACCTTCTGTACTGGTGACACAGCATTAATTCACCTTTACTATTTAGTAAATTTACTGATAACCGTAACTATCAACACTGACACATCCTTTACAGACTCCTCTGATTACACTGCTCAGTGTGCTGTGTTGTGAGGACTCTTGACAACTGAGAATTGGGATAACAAAGAATTGGTTTAAAAAGCCAGAAGTCGCTACTTACTAGAATTACTAATCAGAATTTTACTGTCTTGTAAAAAGCTGAGATCAAAGAAAATAAGCAGTATCCAGTAGAACTGATGAACAAACAAAAAAAAAGGCAGAGGGGAGGAGAAGCTATTAAATACATTCCCAACAGTGAACGTCAGATAGATAAAAAGTTCACACATTGTTTGTCAAGTCAAGTCAGTACGCTATACTTGTCACAGAAAAGGCTCATGGCTGAGTAATCTACTAGTGATTAATTTACTAATAAATCAATGTGGTTCTAATTTTAGAGACACTAGTTCTCCTTCCTTACAAAAATTATTGTGAATCTGTGTTACAGAGAGCACAGACATGAGCGTTGAGCAGCAGGGCACCAAAACTCTTACCTTTGGGTGCTGCAGTCTTCTTTGGAACGCCAAATTCTGAATCCGAGTCAGAGTTTACAGTTTCCACCTTCTTGGCCTTGGGAGCTCTTTTAGGTTTAGGGGGCACATCTAGTTTTGCTGTTAGAAGTTAGAGATACTAAATATGTTAAATTCACATATTGGTTAGAAGTATTAAATTTTATTAAATATGCCAATTACAGCATAAATGGCAGATATTAAAACAAGAGGAGCGGTTTCTGCACTTGGGGAAAACATACTTAACTTTTATGCTAAAACTGCATGGAATAAACAGGAGGTTTCTTTTGTGATACTTTTGAGATGTATCAGTGCATTCAGTAAACTCCAGTGGTTTTGATTAAAGACTTCATCTTTTTGAGGTTACCAGTAACTACAGCAGCAACGGAAGTTCTCCAGGTTGGATACTTTAAACACGTTTGGATACATTACAGTGATTACAGATACAGCTTGCTGCTTGTAACATTTTTGCCTTCACAGTGGTACAACTGCAGGACACCATTTTCCCCGTGATTGCTGCAGGAGTTTGAGAGACAGTGCATCTGACTCTGTGACATTGTTTTCTGTCAGTCTCGGTGAAAAGGAACTTCAGAAAAAGCAGAAAGGACATGAAGGGCACCTATCTCTGGATTTCTTACAGAATTTTAATTACTGCCATGCAACTAGTCTTGCCATCTTTAGAAGACAGTCATTGATATGTTCATACAGTGGGTGACGGGACAGAATCACAGAATTATTTAGGTTGGAAAAGACCCTTAAGACGATGGGTTAATGCATTCTATGTGCTTACAGATGAGTCAGTCGTTTGCAGAAACCTCGGATACACTACTGACCTGCACTCTATCAGCTCTGAATACCTCAAAGATGATGAGACACGTGTGAAAACACACCAGATACCAGGGATGTGGACATTTGTGAGAACTCGAGCTTTCATTTTTAGTATCACTAGGCAAATGAGTTCAGACAACAAGAGTGTCTCCACAAGCTTTTCGGCTATGATGTCTTAAACTGCTATGCACTGGAGAGTCACTGACAAAGACAGTTACGTCTTTCCAGCTTTTTGTGATAATACCTACTGGGTAGTCCAAGTATCAGGTCCTAACAATACAAAAAATAAAGTCACCTTTGGCATTACAGATGGTGAAAAAATGGCTATGGCAGCATTTCAGGTAAGACTTGGGGAGGGAAGGAAGGAAGTCAGGAACCACATTTGAAAGCAACTTGAAGCAGGTCTCTCTAGGTATCTCAACTGGGAAAAACCAGCTGTAGTAGCGTAAAGTAAAACTAAGTAAGCCACAAAGACCTACCAGTAAGCCTGGAAGAAGTACACAGCAACTGAAGCAGAAGGAATACTTTCTAGAGGCATCACCAAAAGTAAGTAGCTAGTTAATCAGTAAAAGAGGAGGCAGTGTTACCTGAAGGTGCATGATTTTAGGTCCCATAAGGCAACAAGATCTTCATACAGGAAAAAGCTTTACCAGCATAAGAAACATAGACTAGAGGGCAGGGAAGGGAAGGATTCAGAAGTTTCATCAACTTGGAAGATGACAAGCAGAAATTGTGACCGAGAGAATCTTAGTAGAAGGGATCAGTTTAGATCTACGTGACATTCAATATCAGGAGCTGAGGTTTAGACATCCTCTTACAGGATTGTGTATGTTTTGGCCAGGTAATTGTGCCTTGTGCAGTTCCTCATGCTATTAATGTGAAATCTGCATACCAGACAGAAGCCAAGCAAGTTGTCAATTGACAAGTACTGCGCAGCACATATACCATGAGATGTAACTATCTTCAGCTGGCCCCAAGTCCTCGAGTTTGTTAACTGACGTTAGAAAAGGGGCAGACTGCTCACTGACAAACATGGAACTAGGGAGAAGGAAATAACTAGTGAGTGAAAGGGAGGTATGACACACTGACACAAACACTAGACTTGTTCTTTCTTTGAAACAGAGCCTGTCATCACTGGTCAAGTCCTGTGAAGCCTGCCTGCAGAATACCAAGTCCAAAGGACAGCAAACTTCCTAATTGTTATCTGGTGGCTAAAGTAATAGTGTCCATGACTTCTAGAACATGCATCTCCTTCTGTACTAATTCTAGTGGGATTCTGAACCGCTACTTTAGATTAGATATCTAATGCCTGCACAAGTGGGAAGGATCTCTCAGAGCAACTAGACTGCAATCAGCTCAGCGAAGCTCTCCACTAGGTATTATGACATTGAAATGGAAGTCTGCAGTGGAGTCAATGTACACAGGCTCTCAAAAAGCCCAAGTTTT